CATAGGGGCCGATGGCAGCTGGGTCGCGCGCCGGGACGATGGGATCGGTCGCAGGGCTCTGTGGGCCAGCAGCAGTGGGCGCCCGGGACGAGGCGGACGGAGAAGGCTTGACGCCGGGCGGCTTGACGCCGGGAGGGAAGACGCCGGGAGGGAAGACGCCGGGAGGGAAGACGCCGGCAGGAATGCTGGTGGGCACAGGGAGTTTCGCGACGACAGCAGACGTGACGGCGGTGCCGTTGTGGCCGGTGGGGAAGACGGTGACGAAGATGGTCGACGTCGTCTCCATGGTGGTCGTCGTCGTGGGCTCCACAACAGAGAGCGAGGAGGCGCCGGTGCCGGGGCTGCCGAGCTCAAAGACGTCAACGTAGTTGACCTCCCAGTACGCATTGGCATAGGCTTGCGGGTTGCTGGACACGTAGTCGATGCAGGTCGGCGCGAGATCGCCGCACTGGCCGTTCTGCCACTCGACGCCGGCATAGTCGCCGCAGAACTGGTCTCGATGACAATGATCATGTTCGCAAAGTGCTTCTTCGTGTCGCAGCTGTCGTCGCCAAAGAGCGTCGAAGGAGAGACCTCCAGGTCTCGGGCCTGGGTTTCTTGTTGATGATGTCGGCGGGGATGTTCTGTCTCGACCAGTGCCAGATCTTGATGTCGTCCTCGGTTCACTACATGGCGTACACGCCACCCCCCACGGCATTGAAGGCGTCGCCGTAGGTAGCGTGGCTCAGGGGGTCTGCGGCGTAGCCGCACCCCGTATTGTTGTTGGCGCCGGGAGAGAGACAGTCGGTTGTCGTGGGCTGGCCCAGCACCTGGCCAGCAGACTGCGGCAACGTGCAGCCTTCGGAGGTGTGTCCCGACATGAGGTTCCTCGTGGCGAGGTTGGCGCCCTCGATGATGTCAATCTCGCCGCTGTTGGGCCAGTCGGGCCCGTACATCCAGAAAGCCGGCCACAGACCGCAGACGGTGGGAGGCATGTGGGCAAAGTCACCAATGAACAGGCCATGGTTGTAGGCCTGCTTGCTCTCTAGGCGCACACTGGGGCGGCCCTCATCGACGGCGAATGTGTTGGTGTGGTCGACGCCAAGAATGACGGCTTCTGAGATGGGGTTGATTGAGTAGAGGCCCTGGCCCAGAGCGTCGGGTTCGCTTTGGTATCTGGGAAAACGGTCAGTGGGAGGGGTTCGATCACGGAGAAGGGACCAGCTAGACTCACCGGACGAAACCATTGGAGGGGTCATTTCCATTGAACCAGTTGAATTCTGAGACGAAGGC